CTTCATAAGAAGTATGTAATGAAATTATATATGATGTCAATCTTTTAGTATAATTTATAGTACATAATGTAGCTGAGCAATACATTATTCTATTACTTAAGTATGATAAATTGAACAAAAGTTTAATCTATGAAAAAAAATTAAGACCAAGAAACGGCAATAATTAAAACGATAGAGACATAAATATGTAAAAGGTGTATGAAATTAATAAAATTAAAAGCTCTGAAATCATAAAGTTATATAAATACTTAATAATAAACCTACAATTACATAAAGAAATAATAAAATATTATGAAAATAACCTTTTAAAAATTTCGGAAATCAAATTACCATCTCCGCAGAAAAACAAACCAGTATCTCACAGTAACTAAGAATAGAAAAAACTGGTACAGCTCAAACTTATAGAGAAGAAGCCAATTAAAAGAAACGACAGAAATTCCTGATCAATGTTGAAATCCAACCAGAAATACCGTGGATTTCATTAAATATGTGTTTTAGATTAGAGAATTAGGACGTTGAATTTGTACCTCGACTTATATCTTACTAGCTTTCCGCCCGCAGCTTTGCCCGCGTGGAGTTCGGTTATATCGCGTTTCCAAGAGAACGTTTCAAAAGTCTGGGATAAAAACTATCCTATGTTCTTTCCCAAAGTGAACTCTATCTTTGTACCAAATTTCATTAAAGTCAGTTCAGCGGTTAAGGCGTGAATGCGTAACAGACAGACAGACAGAGTTACTTTCGCATTTATAATATTAGTAGGGATGTGATAAAAAAAAATATAGGTTGAAGGATTTCTTATAACAAAAAATATACCAAGGATCTAAAACTAAAAGATCATTTAATAAAGAACAATTTAGACAAGTGCATTAATGAAATTAATTAAGATATTTTAAAAGTTATCAATATGACTAACGTGTTATTTTAAACCGTATTGCTTAAAGATAAGATGCAAATTGTCTTAAATTATGTCACGTCATGTAAGGTGGTTCCCATGACCTCATTGAATAAGCGCCGTGAGCTCTCCTTTTTTACGTTCTACTACTGATAAGCTGATAGCGTATATAGCACATATAGCCCATTTCACTTCATATACGAAAACGCTTTGTAAATTTTTTTCCTACATTTTCCAACATAGATTACATTACTGGGACATCCTTCACCACAAAACCTATAATTGTGTATTGAAATTATATAAACGCTTTAATTTACTGCATATTAGGCGGATAAGTTTAACACAAATGGTAGATTTATCACAATTAATACATACAAAATTATTAGATTATATATTAATTTTAATTGTTTTATAATTCTCTAATTATTAAACAAAATTTGTTCAGGAAAATAAAATACTGTCAAATATATGGCGCAGGAAAGAATATTTTTTGTACATAAAATCGTATATAAAATAAATTCATATTGGCTCGACAAATTGTCCATGTACCTAATAGATGAACAAGTGTTGTAATTAAAATGAATCCGGGTATTAATTGAAATATTTGACAAGGATATTTAAACTCGACAGTCGACATTTCACGGACTTTATGAAAAATTTACAACCTAATTTAAAAATAATCTACTGAGGATATTTTTAAGTAAAAAACGAGTATATTTTAAAATAAAATGGAAAGCTATTTACTATTAGGTATTTAAGCTGAATCTTATTTTTTGTTTTATTGGTCCATATCTTATTTAGATATCAACATTTGTCTCAATAGTATTTTAAGACAAATTATTTAGAATGGCAATGTAAATTCAAACACAGATACAATATAATATCTTTCGGCTACAGTGAAACCTTGTATTAAGTGATGTCGTGATTCTGAGAACGATTTCACGGCTTAAACGTGGTTTATTGTTCGGGATGTTTGCGTAGGTAGGTATAATATGCAGATCAGCAATCGAAACTCAGGTAATATATAGCACAGGTACGACAGCAACAATGGGAAACCTACGAAGATATCACTGTAGAACTCTTGAGAGAACCTTTGTTAAACCGAAATTTAACAAACCTTACGTTTCACCGATAGACAATTTACCTTATTTTTGGGTAGGATTGCGTTTCTTTCGAGACAGTTTGTTCATATAAAATGCTTACTCCTACACTTGAGAATTTTTCCCATTGCTTTAATAGTAAATCTAGTAAATTTACATATGACTGTATAGCGTATTCGTATGTGTTGGACAACTATAGACGCTAACCCTACTCTTCGACACCTATAGAGCTAGGAGCGTGGATTTTTCCGAAACAATTAGAGAAGACACGGGCGGGACCCGAGGCGAGGCCGCCACTCCCCAGTCCCGATCAATCAGGCCGGACCGCACTCAATGTAATTAATTTATAGGAACGATCTGAAACTTTACAACCAGATACGTGCGAAACTCTGACTATACCAAAACGATATTGGCTCAACACACGCAAAATCATCTCTAAAGACTCAATATACAGACTCCAGCTACTTCCAAAGTGACGAGGACCTCTAATTGTTAACTAAATCAATGAAATCAATATTGACACTAAGTTAGGCAACATGCATATCATTATATGTCACTCGAACGTGATCTTGTTACTAGCAGGCAGCAAGACAACGGTGGGAATGCAATCGAAATGATCTGCTGAACAAAAGGTCATACAACAACAAACAAGATACAGAATAAGAACTTAGAATAAATTAAAGTAACGGTAAGACTGAATAAGATCTTGCAAATGAAAAAAAATCCTTATTTGCATTCTCTGAGCGTAGATCTCCTTGGTCCGACCAGAATCAGGGTTGAGTTTTTAGGGCCACGACCCACGATCGACGCGATCTCGGAATAATCAAGCGTGCCTCCCCTCGTTGCGGTCGTTCACACACAATCGAAGCGCCTAACTTCGTGAGGGGCCTACCTACGCATGTCGAGTCCACACACAAAGCATCCACCCATACCTAACAACCCTCGCAGGACGCACTACATGTGCATAATACAGATAAGCCAAAATCGACCTTAACACTGACATACCTACGAACAATTTTACCTATTATGTTGCACACAGCCGTTGCATCCATTTCGATAACGGAAACTTGCTCCAGCGAATCAAAAACAAGACAAATGTGGAGCAATAAAGCGCAGAATCGGCCAGAGTCGGGTCTCTGTCGTAGGACGCGATGTGCATCCGATTGCACCGAGCATGAATATTGAAAAGCACCCTTATGTCTTTCGACACTAAATCGAATACACTTCGACGGGCTCACAAACAAACGCCACGTGTTTACAGAGGGCACTAGTTAGTGCAGATTAGAAATACTGAAGTTCCTAATTCCGCGCACATGTTTCAAACTTTAAACTTTTATATTCCGCGCCGTTATTTATATATTTATGAAGGCGCGGTAAAAGTTTTGCTGACGCTGTACAATTCGAAGATATACATTAAAAACTGTAACATTAAACAGGCCAGCAGGCTTTCTCTTCGGCGGTGGAGTTTCGTGTTTTTAAATTAATTAACGAGAACTATAACTGAATTTTTCACAACCTTTAATTACTTTAAAAAATAATGGCATAATTAAATAACTAGATCTGTCGCAATTAATGAATTTATCAATGGCTTATTTACATACAAAAGTCAATCGATAAGAAGGATAGCGGGTTTGTAATTAGTTAACTAGGTATTGATATAAACAATCTGTGTATGAAATATTCGTAAGAGAGAAGTTTCAAGACTAAAATCGTTCACAACTTCGCATCATTACAATCGTTTAATATATATTCTAAAGTTAAGCCATACTAATAAACATTATTCAATGCTTTTATGTGTTCTTTTTTAATAACTTTCTAAGCTATTTACGATATCGCAGACTCTAGAAATAGTCACAAACTCTAGCTTATATTTTAAATCTCAACAAAGATCGAACCACGTAAAGCCATTACAGCTATTTTGAAAAGTAGAAGTGCAGAAGCCCTAACCAAATTGGTTCATTTTCTTTAATTTAATTCCAATAGTCCCTAGGGCTAAAACACCTGGAGCTTTAACACAATATAACCACTTCTGATAAAAGGGGAAATAAAATTTTGGGGACAATTAAAATTTTACTTTTTGTCTTCTGAATGTCATACCATTGCTGCAGTGCAGTGGAAAGAATTCTTAATTGACATCAAAGAGTTTGACAAGTTTATTGTAATTTAGAACTACATTTTTACACCGTCTTTTGCCATCCTCTATGCAAAATGACCAATTTAAATTGGACTTCAGTTTAAAAAGGCATTATCTATGTATACATGAAGATTTACTTTATTGAAATACCAGTTTAAATACCAAAAAAAAGTATATATATTTAAATTTTTTTGCAGCCCCACAATGAATTTTATTTATATGGGTGCAATGCTAATAAGCAATTGTGTTTGAATGCCTGGTCGTGCTATGCATATTGCATTGTGACATCTGACAATGGCCACTGTTATTCCTGTGGGTCATAACCATAAGCGGCATTTCTCATGTTATATAACAATAAATAAATTGATTGATTTTCATATATTCTCTTTAAACACAAAAAGATTGTTTAAAATACAAACTTTTAACTTTTTTTTACATCAAACATGACTAGAGCATGGTGTAGCGGGACATGAATTTATTCATTATAATTTTGAAAAACAGTTATCCTAAGAAATCAAGATTAAAAATATTCATAAAAATTCTATAGTAAAACTTGTTTTTCTCAAAATTAATGTGATAATTATAAAAGTTTTTGGCTAATTTATTTTATAGTTGTAGTTAATAAATAGTTCATTTATTTGATCTCAAACAATAAAAACTCCACAAAAAGAAAGCATCTTTTGCAACAGTTCAGCCTAACTTTAAAACTAATATTGAATTTGCTAAATATAGATGCAATAAATTGGTGGGCCAAGGGGCACTATAAATATTTATCAGACCAACTTTTCAAGTTTATGTTTGTGTTTCCTATTGTTCAACAGAAAAATAAAGAAATGTTTGTTATAGAAGTAGTGTTCCATCGGGCATGACTCACCATACTACTCCGAAGGCGCCGTAGCCTATAGGACGATCGGGCTGCACGTCTGTGGGTATGGCCGGCGTCTGGTAGTAGGGCGCCGCCGCCGCCAGGATGGCGCCCTGCGGCGCGCTCTGCGTACCGCCCTGCATCAGCGACATGGACACACTCATGGAGACGCGAGAGTGCCGCGCGGGGCCGCTTACAGCCGCCATCCACCCGCTGTACGGCGAGCCGTCACCGCGGACTCATCACACGTCCAACGCACTGCGCCCCCAGCTCTGATCACCAGACCGCTCCAGCTTGACACGCGACGCTAGCACTGCTTACTTCTTCATTATTCATGCTCGAACGGCTATGCGGGAATCACTCAATGCACTACACGGTAAAACGGGACACCTGTCAAATACACCCGTTGATTGCACGTTATACTAGATCGTTTTCTAAGGCCTGCAGCGTGGAGGTAGTTAGGTTATAAGTTTAAAGTGTTTCAGGACAAAGGATGAGACCGTGATAAATAATTATTATTCTAGAGTCTGACTCGACCGTCCGCACGCTTTGAAAATCGAGCGAGACTGGCTCGCCTCGGCTCGGTAGGGGGAGGAAGCGGTGAGAGAATGAGATAGGAAATAACAATGGCGACGACGCAAAGAACAGCTGCTCGGCTTGATGTTGGCTTTGGCTTGCTTCGCATGCCTTGTGTTCAACTCAATACGGAGAATTCTGCGCCACCCATTTTTTTCTAAACATTATATCCCTCCCTCTATTTGAAATGAATAATAAATAAGGCTAAATTTGAAAAATGTTTATTATTATATCACAATATACGCTAGAGGAGTAACAGAGAAACTTACTTTTAAAACTTTATTGGAAACTTTACTTGACATAAGCACTATGAATGTGCAGACGAATTGTATTAAAATTTTTAAATACTCTATTTCTAAACTTTAAAAAAGTTAATAAAATTTTAGTCTAAAAACTCACAACATGATTACGTTTGATTACGTTTGAAAATGGTTTCGTATATTCAATTTCAAACACGAAATCTTTTAAACAAACGTAAATTTAAATTAATAACCACCATATTTATACAATTCTTAAACTTATACGAACTGATGATTATTTTTTAAAATAAGAAAATAACATTACGTGTTCTTATATTGCTATTTCTTTGAATACTAAATTATAGACGAAAAATTATTTCCATTTTTAAAATAATATTAAGATGATATGTTAATAAACTTTACCAACTGTGACGATAGCCTGAGTAAGAAGATTTTTAAGGTTTCAGTTATTATATGTACTCATTTCATTTAAAAATTTAAAGCCAACTTGATTTTATTAATCGTTACGAAACGTAGGTATCCCGCTTCTTTTTTCAATTAAATATTTCTCTATATAGAGAACTAGCTTTCCGCCCGCAGCTTCGCCGCGTGGAGTTCGGTTATATCGCGTTTCCAAGAGAACCTTTCAAAAGTCTGGGATAAAAACTATCCTATGTTCTTTCTCAAGGTCAACTCTATCTCTGTACCGAATTTCATTAAAATCAGTTCAGTGGTTTAGGCGTGAAAGCGTAGCAGACAGACAGACAGACAGACAGACAGACAGACAGACAGAGTTACTTTCGCATTTATAATATTAGTAGGGATTATTTATATATAATTTGATCTCAATAAAATTATTTTAATAGGTGTCAATAAATAAAATAGCGGTTTATAAATACGAATTATTTTATCACAGAGAATCACATTGTGTTATACAACATATTTACGTGGCTAGTACAAAATATATCTTACAATGTTCTAAATATGTATAGATTAGTAAACACTTAAGATACAAGTGAAAATGGGAACACCACTACAAAACACCTTCCCCACATCTATATACAGTAGATTACAGTATAGGAAATAAATTTAACTAAAAATAACAACAAAACGTAAAATTTATTACAATAATAAACATTTCTAAAAAAAATTATTACACATATATTTATACAATGTCAAGTGAATTAAATAATTCGTATTGATTCAGAGTAAAATTTTACCAAAAAATTAAAAAAAGCACTAAAATCATGTATAATTCTTTCTTTTTTATTACATTTCATAATAATTCCCTGTTTTTTCAATATCAAACTAATTTAATGTCAAAACCAAAAGTTGAAACTCTAAGACACAGGGTTCAATGTGCATTGTGCTAGCCTTATAAAATTATTACACAATACATTCATATATACATATAACATAAGTATTTAAAAAAACTTTACGACTTTTTGCAATTACAGTGAAATGTGCTGATATAAGTAGCTGGCAACACCAAAGGCCCACAATATATATAAGAAAATCATTAAGACTTGATATCATTTCAAATATTAAAATTAAAGAGTTTGACCATTTAATATGTGTACTGTAACAGTTTTAAAAAACATTTTATTGTCTATATACCTATTTATATGGACTGGAAATATGACAGCTTTGAATTATATACAACCATTTGGTAAATAATACAATGTTTACAAATTGAATACATTACATATAGAGATATTAAAAATTATATATCGTGTATACATTACTGGCCATTAAATGAATTAAAAAAATATTATTAAGACTAATATGAGTTTACGGATTTGCTTTCTCTGTATGGTCCATGATAGTTCAAATTAAATTATTCAATTTATATACATACATATTCTGATCTTACTTTTACTTTACATTCGATTCGTCTTAATCAATGTAATTTTTCAAGTATATATAAAAATATGATGTAGAAAACCAGATGTTACATATATTATGACTTATCAAGAACAGAAAAACTAAAAAATACAAGTAAAATTTTAAAACAGTACAATTATATGTCCCTTTTAAAATATATACGACTAATGATCTGTTTGTTACAACAGTCTCTGAGAACATTTGGAGCGTTTAAAATAAGTTTTGGCATACAATGAAGATCTTCGTTGAAAACTTAATATTGTTACAAATTCAGCGCCATCTATGTTACGTTAATGGCAACATTTTATTTTACATAAATTCGTGCATTTACATGTTTTAAAGTTTAGGATAGTTCAAAACCTGTGTTACAATTAACCGCGTACCGTAGTTTATCTCGTAGTGTACTTCTCTTTTGGTAGTTCGGTAGTTTAAGTAGATTGAAACACGTCGATGAAGTCGGTAGTCTATTCAATGGGTCCTTCTTTCTTATTGTGAAGAAGCCTCGTATAACGCTCCCTGGAATTAATATACAATACAGTTTATAATTAATAATACCTTGAAATAGCAAAGAAAAATGCAGTTTGAAATTTTTATTTTGTATAAAGAGAAATTTTCGCCTTAATAATATATAATTTCTAAATTAATGTAATTGTAATTATTATTTTTAAAGGTATGAAACAACGAAATATGTGTACATGTAAATAGGATATATTTAATTTATTTCATAGCCATTCAGTAAGGTCACATAACAAAAAATGTTTTATTGATAGTAATAAAAAATCCAAATAAAAACGAAGAAACAAAAGAATGCATTAAATTGCTTTAAAAAACAGGAAATAAAAATACATCTAAATTAAGACGTGCTTAGAGTTAGGGAGTCCAAAATTGAACTATACACATCTTATATAGAAAAATCTACATCGTTATAATATAGAAAAGATTATATATACTTTCTTCATTATCATCAGCCTGTGAGAGCCCACTGCTGAGCAAAAGCATCTTCTCACAGGTAAAAAATTAGCACATTAATCACCACGCTTGCTCAAGACGGATTGGCGATTTCAAACTAGTAATTTAAAATTATAAGGCCAGGTTTTTTTGTTTTCCTTTACCCTCTATCAATGGTGTCTAAGCTTTCTTAGGAAATAAATATAATTTGAAACAATCACATTGATTCTTGATAGATTTCGAACCCGCGTTCTTATGCATGAGAGGCGGGCGTTTGACCACTCAGCTACCATGATTTCTACTCTACAATTCTCTTACAAAATAATATTTAATTATTGTGATATTCACCGATAGTGTCTCCCGTGTCTTCGTCGTCACCGACTTCTACACAGCGGATAGAAAACGGCGGCTTGAGGTGAGCGAAACCCAACACTGGAGGCTTGGAGCATGACGTCACGAACTATAAACAAGTATATATCTTTATATATATATATATATATATATATAATTCTTCTGTGAGTGTGTATGTCACTGAACTTCTCTCAAACGACTGAACCGATTTTGATGAAATTTTGTTCAAGGGGATCTGGGAATGGTTAAGATTCACAATTTTGTCCGCTTGACAATGTTTTTTTTAATTAATTTTTAATTTATTAGTAGTTGTTGATACAAACGTTTTTTTTTTTTGACATTAGATTTGACAACTAACTAATGTGTCAATCATTCTGTCGCACTTCAAAACACGGAGATTTATGGCTTTAATAGGTAAACTGCAACAATATTAATAAAAAAACGTAACAGATATTTCTTGATTATAGGGCGATACGAAGTTCGCCGGCTCTTCTAGTATATAGTATATATATCTAGTTATTTTGTTACATTAAAGAACATTATCCTGACGTTTCGGTTACTTTGCAGCAAATGTGATCACGGGCTGATGAGATGTAATGAGATTCTCAAATTAAGTAGTTTTAAAAATAATAAAGAACGCGAACCAATCCGAAAATAAAAGTTTTAAATCATATTATTTATACACTGATGACATATTTAGAAATTCGTTTACTTTTTAATGGGTTTTGTTAAATACTAGTTTTTGGTAATGCGTTTGTTATGATTTAGGGAATATAGTGTGTTGAAACAATGGATATGTCATCCAACTGACGGTTCTTATACCGTCTGTGTTACAACTGAATAAAAAATGCAATTCTAAATAAATAGTGAAACCAATCTTTCATTCACAACCATGCCGTGATATTATTATATGACAAAATTTATTTAACAAACTTGGAAACGCTTATTATTTAGTTTGATAATAAAACTAATAATAAGGATGTGTTATAACGTTAGATAAATTCACGAGGAATAATCTACTTATATTTTCTTGCAATTGGTTTTAAAATGTTTAGTTAAATATTTATTCAGCAGCCATTGGCTTTAGGTTTTGTATAATTTATTTTTTCTTACTGTATTATTTTTTTGAGACGCTATCCCTACTAATATTATAAATGCGAAAGTAACTCTGTCTGTCTGTTAAACTTTCACGCCTAAACCACTGAACTGATTTTAATGAAATTTGGTACAGAGATGGAGTTGACCTTGAGAAAGAACATAGGACAGTTTTTATCCCAGACTTTTGAAAGGTTCTCTTGGAAACGCGATATAACCGAACTCCACGCGGGCGAAGCTGCGGGCGGAATGCTTGTTCGTCATAAACAAATGAGTGACACTAATATTATACGACTCAATATTTTTCAACCACGAGTCAATAAGCGCTCCTTATATAACATGAGTATCTTCTAGTATATTTTCTCATACTTTAAGGAACATGGCCCGTTCGTTCTCTGTGAAGTCTCTCTGCAACACGTCCCACAGCCAGCACACAACTCTGTGTGAATCGTGGAACCCGCCGTAGTACTGCGTATGTCGCCTCAGATCGCGCAGGTCTAGCGGCACGTTGTCGCCGCTTATGAGACGCTGCAACTGAAATATATACACAGACATACTGATAATATACTTTAAATAGATATTGCATATAAAATAAAAAGCATCTTCATTTCCAATAAGTATTTAAAGTTTAAATTTCTTCACAATCTATCTATGTGTTAGTTCATGTAGTTTAAACTATGTACAGTTTCTCTTTATTGACTTAATTCTATTTGTATCTTAATTTCCATGTATGTATGTATGTATATTTAAAAAAAATTATTTTAAATTATATTTTTATTTAACCAACTGGATGCCAAATAAATATATACAGGGTGACTGGTGAATTACTATCGATATATGAGGACGTGATTTGTGACCATCATATATGACAAAATAAAAATTAATATAACATAAATATTAATAAACTTCTAAGTAAAGTTAACCAAAAGTTATGTAATTAATTACGCATCGTGTAAACACCCTACAGATTAGGTATACACACACACACATACGAGTGCGGCGGCGTTGTGTTGTATCAGCACGCCGCCGCACGCGTCCACACTTGGAACACTTGGAACGTGTCAACACTTTATTTATTTATACGGAAATTTGGTCAAAAATTAAGTGCCTATTTTTTTACATAATTTGAATGAGAATCATGTAGCGAGTATGTTCCTTAAATATTGATAGTAATTCACCAGTCACCCTGTATATATGTATATGTATATATATATATATAGATTAAAATTATTGACACCAATTGAGTTGTAATTAAGGGGCCGTTAGAGTATTACGTAAGCAGATTTATTACAATTATTTACCCCCCCATCCCCCTTTTCAGCAAAAGTAAGCAAAGCTCTTACCCCCTCCCCCATGCTTATGTAAACATTTTCAATTACAGTATTGTTTTCATTTAAATATAAATCCATAAAAAAAAATATATTTTTTTATGGATCTTCTCGATGTGATGATAAAAAAGTTAATAACTACCGATGACGTCATCATCACCTAGACTCCCCTATCCCCCATGTCATCCAAAATAAGCAAAGCGAAGAGCCCCCCGCCCGCCCCTCCATAGTGCTTACGTAATACTTGAAAGGCCCCTAACAGAAAAATTCAAAACCCATACTCTTATACAAATTTGTATCACAACACACGGAGCCTTTCAGTTTTTCAATTATAAACTTATTTACGTATCATTATAAACTGAAAACACTCCGTATTTCGTAAGGATGCCAATTTGTTATAATAGTACTGATAGAATAGAATTTATGTTAGATACACACACATGCAAACACGCCCACACACACACACACAAACATATACATATATAGATTAGTTAATTAGTAAATATAATGTTTATTCATATATTTACCTCTGGAGTAGAGAACAGCGACAGCCACTCCGGGTTAATGATAGTCCTAAAGCCCACGATGAAAGCGTTCGTCTGGTCCTTTATCTGTGTGTGCATCCTGAAGTGAGCCATCAAGTGTATGTAGTTTATTCTGAAACAAATTAAATTATAATGTTTCATGAAATTCCATGTTTAATTACTACTGTTTACTACTACATAGTTATGAATCTTCTTCTACATGTTGTGAATAGTTTTGGCTAATTGTTTTTACGACCGACCGCCTGCCTGATATCAACTCTCTTTGGGAATGCATTATTCAGTGATATCTTAATACTCTTACTCTTAAGTACATCAAAGTACACCCCCAAATCAAAGGTTGTCTGGCAGAAATCGCTACTGAGCGATAAGACCGCCTTTTTGGACATTTTAATTTATTTTTTTCTTTCCGTGTAAAATTTACTGTTTGTGGTGTACAATAAAGTATATTCTATCTATCTATCTATCTATCTATCTACATAGGACTCGGAAAAATCACATTGGTACCTGCCCGGCAGTACTGTTTACTACTAGTAATGAATGTAAGAATTATTTTAGAAGCTTCTAGTTTAATGTATGTGCTCTCATATATTTTAAACTATTACAAAAATCATACTTCATAAATAAAAGTTATCTTATACAGTCAATCTTTAAGAATAAATATTAAGAAGAAATATATATACTTGTCATAAGAAAAATATTATCCATTAATCTTATACAACAATATTTGAAAATAAAGAACGATACTTTGAAAGTAATAAGTCAGTGATGGCCTAGTGGTTAAAAAGGCCCGCCTCTCATGCACGAGGACGCGGGTTTTATCCTGGCCAAAAGTAATGATAACATGTAAGGCAGGCCCTGGCTAAAAGCTGGGAAATTGCTAGGTAGTTATAGACTTTGAAAGTAATAATAAATACACATATTTTAGTTGTTTTGTTAACTCACTTGTTCTCATTAGTAACAGGAATACATTTCCCTCCCGGCACCAGTTCGTGAGTCACAATCTCTCCTAGCCGCTCTTCGTCCACAGAAAACGTTAGTTCTAACGACGATATGTCACCCTGAAACACGGTATATGATTATAAAAAAAAATCAAAATACATATTATAAATAAAAAATATAACAAATTAATTTTATTATGAAATCAGAATAGTTATATAGATTTGAGTCAACCAAATATTTTTAATAATTCCAAGCTAATTAACAATTAAATTAAATTAAAAATAATCTTCTATAGTTTTTAAGTCTTCTATTTAGAATAAATAATTTCTATCTCAACAGTTCATTCCAATACAACTTGATAGATGTTTCTATGTCTATACTAAACATGAATGTATAACACCTGGAAATGTTTGATGTATGTTAAACTTCTGTACAGGTCTTTGTCGAGTGAAGGCAACTCATCTATCCAGCTATACAGCGCTTGAGTTGTTTGACCCAACACCTGGCTGAGGAAGAATGAAGCGAATGGCACGTCCACTACTATACCCTGAAGAATAATAGTAATTATAATATTAAATATATTTATATCAATACATAGATTTTATGACGAAATTTTTGTATATGTCAGTATTATGTGAACAATTTAACGTTTGTGTTTGAAATATTCAGTTTTTTTTGTCATTTTGGTGTATGTAAATTCTTTTACACATAGAATATGTATGTACAAGATCGTTCTTATAATGTGATATGCGAAATAAAATTTGGAGTATTTGCGCGTAGAATAAGCTTCTAAAAATTCGCATTGCAATTTAGATTTATAAATAAAATTTGAGTTCATATATTTTATCGTTATAACAGAGCTTGCATCAATTAAAATGAAACTAATATTTTCTAATATTATTTAATAATTATGTAGTTTAAAATAATAACAAACACGTAGTAATCCGAAACTATTAGTTTCATTTAAATGAAAGTCTTACATCTCATTATATATCATTTACCTCATACACAGCTTTCCCCAGCATCCTTCCTATAAACTCAAACAGCTGTAGATGGTTTTCCTGTAAGCATGAAGTAGGCGAGGGATACAGACGCTCCTCGCTCGTCACACGGAACAGATTCAACGACGGATCAAACACACGCTTTATAGTCTCCTCGAGAAACTCTGGGAACAGAAATATATACTAGCTACATCCCGCGGCTTTGGATAACAATTATTATATATAATTTCATAATTTTTTAAACATTCCTGAGGTTAAAACTGACCTATGTAGATAGTTATAGTTGTTATTTTGATCATATGTAAACATTATATGGTCTTAACTATAATTGACTATATATATCAATAATTTCTTATAATTGTGATAGCAGCTGTGATGCTAAAATGATTAGAAATGATACGGCGATACAACAAGTCTTCATATTAATGTGTTATATGACTATAATTGACAGCAGTGGCGGCTGTACCTTAAGTGCACTCGTGCGCTGAACCACCAATTCAAAAGATTTAAAAATTACAAAATATTACTTCATCTTTATTTTTAAATTGCCATTTTAATATTTATTTTCTAAACATACAAAAACGTATAAAAAATTAAGTTTCTAATTATAGTCAAAAAGTTTGTGCGCTTTACTAAACTAATATCTTGTGCGCTTCGGCGAGTGCACGAGGACTGCTAATACAAGTTGTATGAGATACGAATTAATACGGCTGACGCGTGAAACAAAAGATAGTTCATAGAAATGTACCGAGTAATGAGTCGGTTCTCGAGCGCCGCACGAGCGGCCGAAGATTACCGAGAACACCCGATGTATGACGAATTGGAATTGAAAAGAATCAAAACATTTCTCCGAAATACCATGCACTTTCTATGCTTAGTATTGAAAAAAATTATTATACAAACAATACCCGATTTTAATAAAAAGGTGATTGAACATTTCGCTTCAGAAAAATGTCGTCGCATTAATGTTTAAAAAATAAACATATTTTATGTCAACTGGTTTTATTTTGCATTTTCTAATTTAAATATTTTATTAAAGTGCACCACCAGTTCGATAACCCACCAGCCGCCACTGATTGACAGCATATAAAAAGCAAAATCATTCTTAGTTCATAACAATGCCAAATATATATTTGGATTAATTAATTAAATAAGGAGTTATTAACATATTAACATATGTTAATAATTCCTTATTAGTGTGATGTGAGAATGTTTATATCAATATTTTCTTGTTAGTCTGATAGAAGCTGTGATGTTTAAATGATTTGGTGATTCAACAAGTCTTCATATTAATAGGTGTCAATATTAATTGGTTATCACATACCTTTGAAGACTCCATCTTGATCTATGCCAGCCTCGTCTAACCCCTGTTCGTTGATGAACCTCACCCTGACCACGGCTCTCAGAGCTCTGCTTGGCAGAGCTGCCAGCTGTCTATATCCGTCCTCTACAAGACGCGTCCGACGAACCGTGACCAGCGTAGATCGACCACCGCAAGCTCGCTCCGTCAAGCCTAACACCACCTGGGAATTATATAAAGGATGGAGTCAGCACGATAGCATAGTTTACTCTTTAAAAGTCACTGGTGGCCTAGTGGTTAAAGGGTCCGTCTCTCGTTGCCGAGGGCGAGGGTTCAAACCTGGCAAGTACCAATGTGATTTTTCGGAGTCATATGTACTTTCTGAGATTTTTTAGACACCACTGACATACGGTGAAGGAAAACATCGTAAAGGAAACCTGGACTTATAGTTTCACAATTATAAGTTTGAAATCGCCAACCCGTCTTGAGCAAGTGTGGTGATTAATGCTCAAACCTTCTCTATGTGAGAAAGAGGCCTTTGCTCAGCTGTGGGCGCTGATAGGCTGATAACGACATAGTTTACTAGCATGATTACAATTTAGTGCTAGTTTTTTTTTATTTTTGTTAATTAATTTATTATACTAACATAGGAGATAAGTAATATGTAACACTAACAATAAAATGAGTCAAAGTCACTTGAAATAAAAAGTTATTATTTTTATTTTATCGTCAAATTCTGGTAGTGCAAGGTTCGAATCTATATATTCTCGAAGAATTTGTAGTCCATATTTTTTTCACTTCATTCTTTATACTATTATTAAATTTAATATTATATCTGCGATTTCTATAGTAATTGGATATGAAATAAATTTGCTATTATATTAAGTAATAATGTTACCTTCTCATCAGCAACAGCTCTTCTAAACAGCCGGACTCGTTCACCGTGAGCTATCATGTGGGGCGTTTTTTGTACCAGGACCTGATAACATCATTATATTATGTGAATAAAATGTATAAACAGTTTCTATATATAGCAATATTATGTACTATATGGCAGAGAACAACTAGGCTTCGCTTACAGTGAGTACAACACATGAGGGAAAAAAATGGAAATAATTATTTAATTCTAAAATTAACATGTGAAACTATTTATGCTTATGTACGATACGGTATTATACCACTTGTAATTTAATCTTCAAAATAAACATTATTTATTTGTATGTAGATATGTTATCTGTATAATAATAAAAAATGTGTTTCTTATATAGAAGGAACACTATATACAATATTTCCTATATGATTCTGCACAATATCTATAGCATTCTTATATATATCTGTTAAGTGGTGCAGTATTGAAACATATACTATATCAACTGAATGATAGTTCAGTCTGCACAATATCTACATACATAATTCTACTACATATATATATATACATATCTATATACATATACTTGGAAGCGCACCCACACACACACACACACCCACACGCTCACAAACACACACACTCACTCACACATAAACTCTCTCTTTTACTGAATCGTTGAAATGAATCGATGTCCACGATACAGGCCCTGCCTAGTGGACGTCAACGTTTTTATTGTAAAGTTTTTACAAATGTATAAATAAATAAATGTTGTTGTTGTTATATCTATATACATACATCTACTATTGTAGTCAATTCTATACTATTTCTAGTACCTGTTGAGGTTTTTTCCCCTTCTCTAAATCAGCCATGAAGTGCGTGTCCCTTATTTCCTTCACGAGCCAGTGGTGGGGGGGAGCGTACGGTCGGCGACAGTCGCGACGGTACAACGCCAGTAGTAAAGTATGAAGCGATGTAAACACCTCGTTGTTCTGAATAGTTTTAAGATCTGAAACACGTATATTAACTTATTTAATATCATTTTAGACTTAATTTCTAGTATTTTTAGTTTTCTTAGTCAGAATATTTTTATATTGGTTGTATTGTTAGTTTAAATTAACAAAGTTATAGTGTGTTGTCCTAAATGAGAGATATTTAGTATGTATCGTTATACACAGTTAAATAAAAATAAAATGCATGGAATATTAGGTATGGTCTCATATTATGAATTGACCAGTCATTTATCCACATATACACATTTCATGATAGTAACAAATAACATATATTTACCGAACAACTGTCCCGTGATTGACTTGTATATGAACATATTCAGAAACTGTGACATGTTCACGAAATCTTGTAACTTGAACGGATCTTGTTTCTCATACATTTCTAAGTCATCTAGAATTCTGGAATTAATTGCAAATACAACTGTTATCTTTAATAAACCAAAAATGTAATGTTTTTTGACGTATAAAAAAAAAACAATTGCTATTTATATGTAAAAAAGTATATAGAGAAAATTTATATTTAATATTAATTATTTATAAAAATATTACTTCGTTTATTATACCAAAATATTTAAACATATTTTTATGAGTTTTATGTCAATTTCATATATTACTAGCTTTCCTCCCGCAACTTCGCCCGCGTGGTGTTCGGTTATATCGCGTTTCCAAGAGAACTTTTCAAAAGTCTGAAATAAAAACTATCCTATGTTCTTTCTCAAGGTCAACTCTATCTCTGTACCAAATTTCATTAAAATCAGTTCAGTGGTTTAGGCGTGAAAGCGTAACAGACAGACAGACAGACTAAGTTACTTTCGCATTTATAATATTAGTATGGATTAACTTACGTCACATAGTGCGTCATACAATCAGCAAATAGTACGAGCATTTGGAACTCTGGCGCTGTAGCCTTAGTATTGAGTGTAAGGAGGTCGATGAAGGCTTTTAAACCACAGTTAGGACCCAGAGTACACAGGAACAACCACAATGAGTACAGGATCTCGTCTTGATTGCACAGACCTGGAAAACATCATATTATGATATGAAAGTACTTTAAAAATAATGATATCTAAGACTTTCGAGTTTTCATTTACATAAAACTAGTATTTTCGGATTTATTACGCGTTTTTTTATTATTTTAAATTCAGTACAATTTTATGTCGCCTGGCTGTGATCACGGTTTATGAAAAGTAACCGAAACGTCGGGAGTGTGTAGTTTAAAATTATAATAAAAGCGTAGTACCTCCGAAAATATTAATTTTATTTATTTTGAATTTCTAAGGTTTTATGAATATTTCTGTGTAGTCTGTTATCAAAGACACACAATATAACTTTAAAAATGCATGAATTGATATCATTTTTGCTTTTGGAAACGGTTTTTCTAATATAGAGGAAAAATTTCAGTATGTAGTCATTAAACGAAAATGATTTAAAAACAAGTTATAAAAAAATATTATTCGTTTTAATCTCTTCGTCACGTTTATTAGAAAAAAAATTCCCATAACACTGTTCAGTAGAATATCAAATATGTATCTCACCAGTCAAGATGTCCAATTTAACTTGAGTCATAGTATGAAGAGCTGTGTGGTACATGGAGCATATCAGAGCTATTTTAGTACAGTCCGGAGATCCTAGCTTTCTGTAGTGTTTGTTTGAATTAGATCTAGAAAATAAAAATATCATTATTATACAATTTATAAAAGAAACTTATTATTTTGTTTCGACCATTAATATTTGAAAATTAATGTCATACTAAGAATTTTTTGAACAATATTGAATATTTTCTCTTGACTAACAACATTTGAATAATTTTAGAATCTTCTTAACATGTTTATAGTATTAGTAAACACTTTTAAAATCTGTACAATTTATATCATTACACATTCCACATACTTGAGTAATGTGGAGTCATTGAATGTACAACATATTTATCTGAATTGTATTAACCTTATTAAGCGGTGGTAATACTTAATTACGAATAATAAGATTCAAAGATTACCTACACTTAATTAGTATAATTCCACACATACTGTACAATATCAACCTTGATAGGGGTAGCAAGAAATTTTGAAGGGTAGTTTTTCCTAGATTTTGTTCTAAGAAACCTTAATTTATAATACTACAATCTTTATATATATATATAATTCTTCTGTGAGTATGTCACTGAACTTCTCTCAAACGACTGGACCGATTTTGATGAAACTTCTTGTGTGTGTTCAAGGGGATCTAGGAATAGTTTAGATTCACAATTTTGTCCGCTGGACAAAGGTTTTTTTTGACATTAGATTTGACAACTAACTAATATGTCAATCATTCCGTCGCTCTTCAAAACACGGAGATTTATGGTTTTAATAGGTAAACTCCAAAAATATAAATAAAAAAACGTAACAGATATTTCTTGATTATAGGGCGATACGAAGTTCGCCGGGTCTTCTAGTGTATTTATATACCTATTAGTTCTAGCCTCAATCGCTCTCCTTATAAAAGACGCGGGGTTACTCTGTAATGGTGTTGATGGATTCGAAGGTCCTGCTTCATCAGTCACACCGGCCTCCAACATTTCCTTCAATGGTACCCCGAGTAACTTCTTCAACATCGGTACACCCCACAACAATGACAACTGTGTTCTTAAATTCCCCATAGCGAGCGGTAAATACATATCAAAATTCTGTGAAAACCAGCCCAGTATTGGATGCCATTTACTAAGATTGCTTTTCTTGCAGACGACATATTGCTGACAACTGTCTAGAAAACGTGACACTACCAACTGTAAAAGAAAATATATATTTTAATGTATGCTAAATATATATTCTTTTAGTTTTACCACAGTCTAAATAATAAATGTAGCTAATTTAACTGATTTCAATATTTTTTATGTATTTTTCTAGAAGTATAAAGATCCAGTGATGAAGTTACTATGGTCAGTGAACCATCTTGTTAACATAACATTTAAATTATATCTTTTTAACAATTAATTCAATATTCTAAATACTAACTGCTATATATTGGAAAAAACTTAAATCCAAAAGTGAAATGAATAACATTATGTATTATTTTTTTTAAATATAAACCTCAAATTCTTAAAAACAATACATATTCTTTGATAAAATTCTATGATATAAAATATCAACAAAATTGATTTGTTGGCTTTTCTAATTCCAATACCAAAGACACATGTATAATGTATATATATATATATTGGACTCCAACTTTTGCATATAATAGGATGCCTTAAATTTCTACAGGCATAGAAATTCTTTAAATATATAATATAAGTATCAAAACAAATTCTCACCACAAAGGTTGGATAATATGTTGAAGGCTGAGCATATTCCCTCTCCGTATAGGCCAGCTGAGTCAAATTGGCCAACAAACATAAAGCATAATTCCCCTCCAATGTATTAAATACAATTCTCATGTTCTGATCTGCACTCAGAAACTCGATGCACTTGTCAAACATTGAATGTGTTCGGAATGCTGCCATAGACTAAAAAATACATTTATTTAAATAGTATTTCTGGTGTATTGTCAAACGAAAATATACATATATGTTAAATAAGGAATCCTTACTAATATTATAAATGCGAAAGTAACTCTGTCTGTCTGTCTGTTACGCTTTCACACCCAAACCACTGAACTGATTTTAATGAAATTTGGTAAAGCGATGGAGTTGACCTTGAGAAAGAACAAAGGATAGTTTTTATCCTAGACTTTTGAAAGATTCTCTTGGAAACGCGATATACCCGAACTCCATGCGGGCGAAGCTGCGGGCGGAAATCTAGTATTTACATATAGATATATACACATATTTGTATGTACAAACCTCGGGTGATATCTGTTGCATGTGAAAAACGAGTGTAGGCACAGATAGTATTTGAATAATATACATAGTGAGTAGTTTTTCTGAGAACTGAGCAGATACTAATGGTCGTAATGCCAATGTCACTATTGCCGTCAGAGCTATATTTTTTAGGGCCACCTTTTCCCTGCAGAGTCCACGAAGAAGTAATGACTGTAAAATTCAACCATAAGATTAGAAGTATTGATATTTATATATTATATAATTATTATAGGACAATATTCTATATATAAATTCTTCTTCTACCTGGCAATTTTCTAGCTTTAGCAAGGGTATGCCTTACATGTTGTGGATAGTTTTGTCTAATTGTTTTTACGACCGGCCGCCCGCCTGACATCAACTCTCTTTGGGAATGCATTAATCAGTGATGTCTAAATACTCTTAGAAAGTACATAGGACTCGGAAAAATCACATTGGTGCTTGCCTGGGCCAGGATTGAACCCGCATGCTCATGCATGAGAAACGGGCCTTTTAACCACTAGGCCACCACTGGCTATGATTCTATATGTAAATTATTTTTAGATAAAAATAAACAATAATTGTATACCTTAAGTGTTAAATAATATCCTCTGTGAAACAATGAACCCATAACATTAGCGCACAACTGTGTCATCCCTCCTCGGAGTTTCTCAAAGTTTTTTAACCTCGTCAAAGCCCAAGTATTTGTAGCTGTGAATGCTAGCAATGTGTGAAGATGTATCAGAATGCTCTGCATATCCAGAGGTGATTCTGGTTTCAGTTCTTCCAGATATTGACAGCATTTGTATAACAAATCTTTTATGTGGGCTATCCAACGAAAACTAAAATATTGATAAAAATAGATGTTTGAATAAACATGAATAATTCAATAAACAGAAAAATTTATATTGTTTAGAAGCCATTTTGCAAGTAATTTTTATGCAACATATATCATATATGTTAGAACAAAACAATCTGTCTAGGACCAATAACTCATTTTACTTTATAGAGAGACAGTAATTTAATGATGTAATAAGAACTTACAATTAGTGTAAAGGAACAATGAATTGATATATAGCATCTCTCATACTATTTATTAGAAATTTTCCTCTACAAGTGAGCAATAAAAGTGAAGTGGTCATATATTGTATTATTAAATACCTGTACTCTTTATTGAGAAATACACCAACATAAGATATCTTGACTGATTCAGAGTGTAGGCTTTGAACGATATATTTGCATAGCTTTTCAAACCTCTTCTTATCTCTCTGCTGTTTGAAAACAAGAAAAAGGCGACAAGCTAATCTAAACACATCCAAAGCCTGGATCAACTCTGGCTGCTGTGGCTCATCTTGGGAACCCTGGCTGGTGTATTCAGGTAATAGCTGATCGAAATCGTCTCTGAAATAAAGAATCATACGTATTTCAAAAAAATATGTTTAACTAGACTATTTGACGTCAATAAGAATTTGAAGAAAGATGCAGTATAGTCATTGAACTGCAATTGCTACGGTCTGTTAATAAAACTTAATACTTACAGAATAATTTTATTGAATCTTTGTTTAGCGAGCCAACCACGTATAATAGACTGAATTTTAATTGCTGACTGTTCCCGTTTCTTTTCAAGTGCACGTTCTTCCCTCGCAGCTTTTGTTTGTTCCAAAAACGAATCTTTACTGGTTATGGTCTTTGAAAACATTTTCGCTAAGTTTCATGTATGGCACGCAAAATATAATTTTGTTTTCCTTTTTCTAAAGCTGTCACGATATAAAGGCATCCCAATACATGTTAGGAATATTACATTATCTAAGTACGGGAACCATTTTGCGGGGAAAATTGTTTAATATGATTCTGGAATTAAAAAAATACTACTGTGTAACTATTTCATATCGTGAATAAATTCATTTATGTACACTTTTTGATATCAGTTTTGACAAAATTAGAGATTTAAGTTCTAATTTGACATATCATATTTAATAACATAACATCTAGTTCTTGCCATTGTAAAAAAATAATCCACACGGATTACAGATTAAATTGCAATTAAAGAAATTATCTGTTTCAAGATGTAGGTAATGTAAAATATTTTTTTATACAATAGCAGTAATATTATTTAACCGTCTGCATTATTGAAATCGTGACTACAGAAATAAGCAAGATTCTTCTTGAATTTTAAATATTTTTATGAGAAGTTTACAATTACAGCTTAATATTTAAAAAACATAAATCTGAATTAAATTTAAAATTTAATAAAGAGTTCCAAAGTATTCAAAAATTAGGCTCAAGAACCTTTTTGTGGTCCTATTTAAAAATCATCCTTTATTCTCTCACTTGGAATGTTTGATTTTTAAATAATTTAGGATTGGTACTACCATCTATACATTTAAATCAAAAACACCTTGTCACTGCTTTTAACTTAGTTGTATAAAATTAAATTGTAAAGATGTCGCTACCTATGTAGCGTATATTTATATAGCTATAAAAAAGTTCTTATCTTTAAAAGTACATAATGTTGAATTAGCAGACTTATGTTCAATTACCAGAATATAAAACTAAAAAAATTATATATACATATGTAATAAATTTTTAGTCGGATCAATTTAATTTTTTTTATAGAAACTAGGAAGATTTATATTGTTCTATAACATAATCATAATATGATATCAACAATTGATACTTTTAGTTTTATTAATTTAAAATAAAATATTAAAAAAATCCAAACTTTACTTCTATATTCAACATAATATTCTGCTGAATTTACTTTGTGTTAAAAATATAAAATATATTGTTTTCAAATAACTGTATAACGGGAGATATAAATTTTTAGCTTTAGGACTTTATTATTGACTAATATATGTTTTTGATTGTTTACCTACGATATTATAGCTTAAATACTCTCTCCTAAATATATTTAAAATTCATTGGTTGATATTTTTGTGTCACTGTAAAAAGGTAACAAATGTGAAAAAATACGCAATAATATTGTGTATGAAATGTAAAATATTTATTTTTTAAGGGTGAATTTTTATAAAAATGTTACCTTGATATTTTCATAGGTACCTACCTACTTTATACGTGATAAAAGAAATTCTTGTAAATTGTAATTAAGTATAAGAGGATTAATGATTATAATAAAAAAAAGGTTAAGGGGCAGAAAGTATGAAAAATGTTATTTCATATATACATAGTAGGTATACATAAATATGATTTTATTAAGAAGCGAAAATTTAATTATTGCACACAGAACATACTACCTATTACAAAACTTTGTTAAACATGGTATTTGAGATGACAAATTTGACAGTTTTACTTATGTATTTGTAAAAGAATACATTTAAAATATTCAAAGAAACTATATATTTAAAGTTTAATGTAATACGTGCATTATTTATAGTAATGAGGTAAAAGCTGAGTAAAATTATTATTCGGACTGAAAGAAGTGAAAGGCTAACGGATATTCGATTAGCTGTAGTTATGAGCCCTAACTCCGGTAATGTTAATAAGTTTTAACCTATTCTTAATTGAAAGGAGATGGAATATAAAGGAAAGTAGTCGTAATATTTTATGATAATGACGTAAAGTCTCACATTGGTTATTATAGTGTACGCGGAATCTGTGCTAGACGGAACACGGAAGAAATATTAATATTAATTTACAATTAAAGTGAAATTTCAAGAAATAAAGTCTGATAGATGTAAATGTATGAATTATTATATGTTCATATATTATCAACATATTGAAATATAAAATTTTATCTATAACTTTTTCGGTAGAAGTTGCTATTTTGTTTTCTATAAATATCCATCCAATATAGAAACCGAGAATATTGAATGAAAATTTATAAATACATAATATTTAAAAACAATACAGCATAGTATAGTTAGAAAAATTAAAGCGCCATCTCGTGGAATTTTCGGGTACTTTTATATAACATACGAAGCTGTGAGACAAGTTACAACTCTACTCAAAATTTAGACAAACTTTGTTGTGTGCATTACTCTCGGCCACCTCGTCGTGCGCGGTACACAGCGTCATACTCTAAATGAAAGTATTTTAACCAAATTAATCAATATTATTAAAATAAAATGTCTTTTAAAATCCCACGAAACTGCGATATAAAGCTATGTTATATGAATATTATAAGTATATTATTATGTTTTTCCAATAAAGGCAGAATTGTAAAACGTTATTTGCGTTATAAATGCGAACCTTCGAGAAATTGTAAAAATTTGCAGCAAAAATGTAAAAAATCTGCCTCAACACATGTACGGAAATTTAAAATAGTATTAAATTGGTTGTCTTATACATTATAATACAAGAAAGACAACGCAGCTTTCAAACTTCTCATTTTCCTTACATCTAACTTCTTATTGAGATAATAAACATTCCACAACAATAGTGTTTGATTTTTGAGATGCCGTTTTACTTATATTTTTGTGAGCGATATGTAAGTATACGTACATACATTCTACGACTCCCACACATTCTATAAAAGAGTATTTAAGCTGTGATTCTCATTATTTAATTAGTGTACCACCGGCTTAACGTTTTCTACTGAATACACTGATTGTATTTACGGCTTTATTAGATTCTATTATATGAGAAATGAAGAACCGTTTCCCATGGTAGAACACAAAATAATTACAATCTTTTGACCCTTTTGCTACTGATTTATTTGTACTTTTGTTAAATAAAACTTCAAAGATACATAGTATTCTTTTAGTTTTACGTTACATGATATTTGCAACATTTCTACTTATTCCTTCACCATTAGTTAACTTACTTTTTTATTGTTTTTTTTTTTATATTTGAGTTGTATGGACATCGAAAGCGTATTGAGGAAATAAAACAAAAAATAAATTGGCATCTCTAAAAGCTTGGGTCGACGTAGAAGTCATTAAAACCAGTCGTTTAAACAATAGCGGTTTCAAAGTTGATACAATTCTTTGGTTTTGTACTTTAGCAATTAGTTACTTATCCCTACTAATATTATAAATGCGAAAGTAACTCTGTCTGTCTGTCTGTTACGCTTTCACGCTTAAACCACTGAACTGTTTTTAATTAAATTTGGTACAGACATAAAGTTGACCTTAAGAAAGAACATAGGATAGTTTTTATCCCAGACTTTTGAAAGGTTCTCTTGGAAACGCGATATAACCGAATTCCACGCGGGCGAAGGTGCGGGCGGAAAGCTA